CTGGCCCGAGGTGTTTCCCTGTGAGCTGCTCGCAGAAGCACTCCCAGGGTTCGAACGTAAGCCCACCACCGTTGGTGAGGCTACCTTCGTTGTGACTTTCTTGCCGCGGAAAGTCCTGGACGTGTGGCCAAAGTTGCCACAGTTCATGCATGTACCCCTAGCAACGCGGTCACGCCATACCTCGTATTCTAAACCAATCTTCACCCATGCGGGTGTTCCTTGGTCGCCCTGACCCGTGGACCGTACTACCTTCTTCTTCCCGGTCCCCCTAGCCTTTTCTTTGATGGGTGCCACAACTCCACCATCTGAAGTCTCACCACCCCCATCGTGCTCTGAGAACTCCCCAAGATATGAGTAGTCGTCAATCTCCGTCGTTTGACCATCGTGGTCAACGAACATTAACTGACCCTTTTTCTTCCAATCTTGGGGCAGTCTCTTCCTACCATCATTGGATGCCTTATGCGTAGATCCTAGCCTTGCCTCTATGTCCAATGCTTTCTTACTAAGAGAAGCAAAAGTGTGCTGGTCGATATAGGCCTCATCAACCAGCTTGGTCCTTACCTCTGTAGGTAGGCACCTTATGTAATCCGTTAGGAGAACCTGCGGGTCAAAACGCACACCAGGTACCACGAGAAGGCATTCTACGGTGTCTGTAAGCTCTCTAACATCCTTCAACCTACGGGAACAAAGGTTGTTGATAGCATCGGTGGCCTTTTGAGCCCCTTGCGGGTCATTCCACATGTTGTAGACGGACCGTACGAACTGTTCCAATGTCTGAGACTAAGCCCAGGCATCGAAATCTTGACCGTAGCCCTGTTGCTGCACCAAGCCATTCAACCAGCGGGCTGCTGATCCTTCTAAAAAGGAGGCAGCCACTACCACTTCCTGTTCTGGCCTTGTGAGCTTGTGCCTCACATAAGTAGGCACAGACCTCACCCAGATGTCCAAGTCTTCCTCCCTCTTCTTGTCTCCAGAGAAAGGCTTGGGACTCATTAGAGGTATCTTGGGCATCCACTGCATCGGCTGCATGGGCCCAGGTGCTTGATGCTGCGGCTGCATAGCCACTGAAACAGGATGTTGCAAACTAACCTGGGCCTGGCTGGACAGTGGGACTGTAGTGACCACTGTTAGACGGTACGGCTGAGACTGAATGAACCGGACCACTAGTTGCACCTAAACCACTCGGGGAGGGCGTGCCAAACATGGGAGAGAAAGTTTGCCCTGTGCGTTGCGGCATCGATGATGGACCCACACCTACAGGGGGAACTACAACAAACTGTGGCGGTCTCGCCGTTAGGCGAATGCCCCTAAGTTCAGCCAGAATTTGTTTATGGCCTGCTACCAAATCAGCCAACAATTCCTGTTGAACGCTTTGCGCTTCCGCCACTGAAAGTAAGGCGCCTCGCAGCACACGAACAGCAGGGTCTAATGTTGCCTCATCTAGTCTTTCCAGTCTGCCTAACTCCTGCAATCTACTCTCTAGTCTAGCTTTTCTTTGCATAGCTTTCCTTCTCCTCTCTACTACTTCATCCATCTGCCGCTGTAGCTCATC